CGTATCAAGTCCTGAGAAGCCGATACTGTTGATTGCGAAATCCCGTGTAGCACCCATTAAGGAGATAATGCTGCCGCGATTGGAGCTACTAGCTGCCTTAATCGGCTCAAGAATGTTGGCATACATGAAAAGCGCTTTGAGGAATGTTCAAGTTGACTACACGATGTGGACAGATTCCGCCATTGTGTTGTCAAGGATAAAAGGTGACGTCAAAAAGTGGAAACAGTTCGTAGCCAACAGAGTCAATGAAATTAGGTGCACTACAGATCCATCAAAGTGGAGATACTGTCCTGGAACGGACAACCCGGCTGACCTACTCACACGTGGCGCGACGCTTGAAAGACTGCTGTGCAGCTCAAAATGGTGGTATGGTCCCGAGTGGCTAACTAAACCGATGTCTGAATGGCCCCTACAGTTCAGTGAACTAGACATAGCGGAAGCCACCCAAAGGTGAAGTTACAACAGTCCACGTCGCACTAATGACACGCTTCTCAGTTCCGATAATTGATATTCAACGGTACAGCAGGCTTCAGCACCTACTCAGAGTCACTGCATGGGTTTTCAGATTTATTGAGCGATGCAGAAAAAGGACGGATCATACGGGACATCTTGTGGCAACAGAAATCCTGAACGCTGAACAGTATTGAATAAGATATACACAAGAGCAAGGCTTTTTTGAAGAACTCACCGCTTTGACCAACGGCCAACCAGTAGAGTCTACATCTCGGATCGCTGAACTACGTCCTTACATAGACAAAGATGGAATTTTTCGGGTTGGAGGACGGTTATACCTCATGCATTCCACACAAGATGTCAAGCACCCAATCATAATGCCGTCAAGCCACCACTTTTCGACACTTTTGGCAAACAGAGCCCATCTTCAAGTCTTACTTGGAGGAGTTAGAGATACACTTACGCAGCTTCGGGAATGCTACTGGATTTGTCGAGCTCGCTCTTTGGTAAAAAGATTTGTCGAGCTCGCTCTTTGGTTTCAGTGCGGATCCAGGAACTGCTGAGACTGCTCCGTTAACTAGTCATCGAGTGACACCAACGAACCCATTCAAAGTTGCAGGGGTCGACTTCGCAGGCCCTCTGTATGCACGCACGAAGAAAGGGGACACGAAGTGCTACATTGCACTTTTTACGTGCGCTGTATCTAGAGCCGTGCATCTCAAGCTTGTCTCGGAAATGACATTGCTATGCCTACGATGATTTGCAGCTCGGAGAGCATTACCTAGGGTGATCTATTCTGACAACGCATTAAGCTTTCACAAGACATCGGCAGATATAAAGCGGCTACACTGAATGTTCTCTGAAGAGGACGTCGCTGGTCAGCTCAGCACCAATGGCATTTCGTGGAAGTTTATAGCACCAAATGGTCCTTGGTGGGGTGGATGGTGGGAGCGCCTTGTACGATCAGTGAAGCTTCAGCTGCGAAAAATTATCGGCAAAGCTCGTCTGAACTACGAAGAAATATCGACAGTGCTGGCGGAGGTCGAAGCAGTCGTAAGCTCCAGGCCTCTGACTTACATCGAGACAGATGCAGGAGAACCTTGCACTTTGACGCCAGCCGAACTTCTCCTTAGACGAAGGTTGACTTCCATACCGTATGTGACCGCTGACGAAGTCAACAGTTATTCCAAACGAGCAGACGCCATGTGCAGACACAACTACAGAGAGCTGCTGGTTGAAAGTTTTTGGAAGTGTTGGTAAAAAGAATACCTGTTCCAATTACGATCTGCACACTTTGCCGACACGAAATCAACTACAGCATTGAAGCAAGGGGACATCATTCTCGTGCATGCGGACAACACGCCACGCCAGCTATGGAAGCTTGCAAGGGTCACGGAAGTGTACCGCAGTGCAGACGGTCTCATTTGTTCTTGCAAGATCAAGTTGCAAGGCGGCCACCTTACGATCAGGCCGATACAAGGACTGTACCCACTTGAACTATGTGTTTAACTTTGCGCGGCCAGGAATGTTGATTATTTTTCACGTTCTGGGCTGGGACAAGGAAACGAGAAAGAATAAGAGCGCGAGCGAGGGACGCGGGGCCGCTCAAGTGACAGCAGAGCACTTCCGAACGCAGTTAAATAAACAAGTTTTTTTGCCTTATACCTTAAAGACGGAGTTGAGTCTGATCACAGTGTCTGGAACGCCATCGTCTTAAATAGCATTATGTACTAGTTCAATGAAATTGTTTCGAACTGTTGTTACAGTCTGAGAAAAGCAGATGACCTAGTTATTCTTGGACGAGTCTTATTCGACTGACTGTACTTAAAATACAGTAATTCAGTTTGTGCAAGTAGAAGCGTCCGTTTATTCTTTTTTTTTTGTAACTAATTTGCTTCCAGAATATTTTATGCAGGGCTTCTATGTTTCAGCGCCACACAATGGGCAGACTTTATCAACAATACCATGTGCTATTCAGTGGCTGTTACTGTGCTGAGAAAGCATGGCGTCCCTTCATTTCAGTATCTCGACTGGGCCTCTCAACCTTTGTCACTGTACATGTTAATCAGCTTGTCAAATGTAAACACGAACTCCCTCTTCACCATAGATTTCGTTGAGCACCCATGAAATAACAGGAAGAAAGGGCCAGTTATTAAACCTCATTCACTATTAACCACTCATCTGCTAGGACCTTAAGGATTCTGTACATGAAACACGACGGCAGACACTTCTCCACACAAGTGAAGGCTACGGTTGTACTAAAAGCACCAACGTGATCACACCTTTTGTTTTAAGTGTTGATTACTTGTGGGGCCTGGGCTTTTGTATGCTATCATCACTTCACATAACACAGGCAGGACCAAGTGTAGCATAGCCATCTGTAATATAATGAGCATGTGCTCGTGCGAAGGGGAAGTCATCTTTTTCTTGTTGTTTGGGCGCCTTGATGATGGTATTAAGTATGGAGCACTTCAAAAGCCCAAGCTATTGTATGCTGTCACCTCTTGAGTAACTCAGGCAAAAACTGCGTATAAATGGAAATGAGAGCACACAAAAAATAGAAAAAAAAAAGAGGAAGCAAGGAAGTATGAGAAGACTAAAAATAAATTGGTATAATGATAGGAAAAAAAGAAGATGAAATAAAGAGAAATTTAGAAGGGTGCCCAGTTCGCACTTTCTTCATGCTTGGTACCACTAGTGCATGTGAAATATGGACAGCTTGTGCATTCAGTGTTGTAACTAAAGCGTCAAGGAAAACCGAAGTCATTTACAAATGCCAAGTAAATTTAAAGTGAAAAGGTAATTTCATATTTAGGAGCCCCGCCATGTTGGTCTAGTGGCTAAGGTGTTCGGCTGCTGACTCGCAAGTCGCTCGGAAGATCGAATCCCAGCTGCAGCAGCTGCATTTTGGATGGAGGTGAAAATGCTGTAGGCCCGTGTGCTCAGATTTGGGTGCACGTTAAAGTGTCCGAGGTGGTCGAAATTTGCAAAGTCCTCCACTATGGCATCTCTCATAATCATATGGTGGTTTTAAGACGTTCAACCTGACATATTAATTAATCAATCATTTCATGTTTAGGAGTACTGCAGATGCACATGCATGAATGGGGCATAAATGGATTTCATTTGAAATGTGTTGCAACTGCTCTGGCATAGATACATGCATTCGAAAATGAGCGGCAAGTAAGTGCTCCAAACAGTTGTGAGGCTGCACCAAAAGGATATTTTAGCTGTTCCAAAAGCTGCGGCAGAATTTCTTTGGTCAATCACATCACTGCACCTGGTCCAGCTTTGGTTTTTTATGCAGTTAAACCCCTTTATAGGAGACAAGAATTGCTGGGCAGCAATTCTTGTCTTTTAAATGAGGTGTCTCTTATAAGCAGGGTACCTCGTATGCATTTTCTTCGCAACCTGTATATTACTGTTGGCACGCTGGTGTTTCTTATACCCTTTGTCCCTTATATCATTGTCTCTTATAAAGGGGTTCGGCTGTATAGTGAAACTTTACGATAACAAATTCAATTGCCAATTTTACCAATTTTGTTATGCCGACATTTAAAGGGTCCGTGCGACAGAATTTGAGCGTACATTTTTTATCGATTCTTCTGGTGCTGTGGAATGCATCGATATTGTTGTGCAAGCGGCAACGCCGAAATCGACTCTGTTATCATTTTAATTCACGGGGCGAACAACCTTGATTTCGGACTACGGCGACACACATCGGCTTTGTTTGTTATGGGAAGTGGTGTCATATGACGTGATGACAAGGACTGTTTGCTTTTGATTGTTTGACGCGACAAGTAGCGTGCAATGTCTATACAGCAGTAGCTAGGCCATACGAGTGAATGCTAAAAGCAGCAAAAACCCTTGTACTGTCAAAAAAAAATCATTACTGTTTGTAAACGATGTATATTCAGAACAATGAACACGACACTTGGTCTGCAAACGAGGCTACGGTACGCCAGCAACTAAAGGTAGATACGCATGCCGCGTTTTCAGCAAGCCGAAAATGTCACATGCTATGGACGCTGGTGTTTACATCTAACGCATCTTGCGTGCAAGCTGAGAAATGACCGCGCCCAAAGCGTATTTACGTATCTTATACAGTGCGACCGTGGGAGCGTCTGCTAGACGACGCATGTGGTTCGTCGTAACCATTCTAAAGACGCTGGGGAAAAGAGCAGTAGCAAGGTATTGTGTGAACACCACCACCAGGTGGCTTTCTGGTATGTCTTTATGAGACGCGCCCTGTGACTGGAAGCAGTCTTTGACGTTAGCAGGTGAGAGAAATGCAAAAAAGTAACGTTACTCATCGTCTCCTCGAGTTTTAAACTTTGAGGACTCATAACTTCACTTTTGTGCACCAATTTCCATCATTCTTGGTGCATTCTTCTCCGAAATCATTGCTATACGTGTTCCAGTGCTAAATAAAACTGTCGCAAAAGTGCCACAGGGCTCTTTTAACTAAAATTTTCTTCCAATGCTTTGCTTAAAATGCTTTAATTTTTATATCTGTTCTTACATTTTCTTTTTCTTTTGTTTAACAGGAATTGTGGAAGGCAGCCTGGGTCGAAAAGTGGTAGTGTGCACAGCTGACAAAGAATCTGCCATTTCTCTGCAACGGTTGCTGTTGTCAACTAGTATCAATTGCCTGCTGCTTTATGATGAGCTCCCAATGGCGAAGATATGGGGTGAGAGTCTACAGTGGTCATAAGTGTCTTTGATTGCCATGTGTTTTTTGAGCAATGTAAAATCTATGAAAACAAGAAGTGTTACTGGAACCAACGTTTCAACCGATGGTCTCGTGTTCTTCGAGATTCATCGTGGTGGTCTTGTGCTTATGATGCTCAACAGCTGACCCAAAGGTCGCAGGATCGAGTTTTGCCCACCACAGCTGCATTTCCATGGAGGCAAAATACTAGAGCCCCGTGTGCTTAAATTTAGGTGCACATTCAAAAACCTTCCAGTGCTCAAGTGGCTAAGGTGCTCAGCTGCTGACCCGCAGGTCGCGGGATCGAATCTCTGCTGCGGCGGCTGCATTTTTAATGGAGGCGACAATTCTGTACGCCCGTGTGCTTAGATTTGGGTGCATGTTAAATAACCCCTGGTGGTCAAAATTTCCACAGTCCTCCATTATGGTGTCTCTTATAATTATATGGTGGTTTTGGGCTGTTAAACACCACACATCAATCAAATCAATCCACTATGGCGTCTCTCATAATCACATCGTGTTATTTGAACGTAAAACCCCAATAGTTATTATATTTAGTCTTTTTAAAGAGACACTAAAGTCAAATAACACTTTACATCACAGTGAAAGCTCAATGTATGACATCTAAAACGACAATATTATCAACAGCTTCTTATCGAGAAATTAAGGTAAATGCACAAGAATACATGTGCCCCATTCTCAGAATGATACCGACGTCGTCAGGAAATTGATCAATGGCGGTTGTTGTTGCTGTGGCTCTCGCTGCTTTCATGTTGCCTACTAGTGTCGGCAACAGCATAGTAAAGCCGGGCAACGTTGTGCACAGCAACCGTCATGCGAGTCGAACCACTTCTTGAGGTGGGTAACTTGAAGTGCGCTAACCCGATGCGGGCCACTAAAATGTGGTTTTATTTCAAAATAAGCTTTTCCTTCTCACAAAAGTAATACTACGAGGTTTCTGAACGGCTGTTTCAACAATCAACGTCAACTTTATAGTTGTCTTCAGTGTCCCTTTAAAGGCAGAAACTGCCTTCCTTATTATGCATCTGTGCACTTTGCTCACTCTCCCCCAGAGATATAAATGGATGAGAGGGGAAGAGAAAGTGCAAATGAAAGAGTTGGGAGAAGGAGGAATTTTCGAGATACTGGTGTCTGTCAAACTGGACGAGTGACAACACGTCAATAAATTAACAAAAGTTGGCAGGAGTGAGTGGGGGGTGGGAGAAGTATAGTCAGAATTCTTTTTTCTAGAGGGGCCAGTCAGCCGCCGTTTCATGCAAAAAATATACTGAGAACGAAGCCGTAATAATGCCAGAAATTGTCATACTGTGTGCAATGTTTTTGTGCTATAATTTAAGCAGGTACGGACCTCCAGCCACGCGTTCAACCACTCTAGGCAAGTGTGACTCTGACTGTACAGGCCTTGTATTGGAGTTTTGTTTGTTGTAGAGGAGGGAGGGTTATCTTGTTCAGTACTCAATCACCTGGAGCTCAGGTAAAATGCAAGATTGTGGGGGGGGGGGGGGGGCATCACAGTTGAATGGAAGCTAAAGCATTGGAATTTCAGTCAACCTTATGAAAAATGCTTAGATAAAAGGATTAAAAGCCTTCTGCAACAAAATTTCGAAGACCTCAGATTTGGGTGCACATTAAAGAACCCCAGGTGTTCGAAATTTACGGAGCCCTCCGCTACGGAATCTCTCATAATCATATGGTGGTTTTGGGATGTTGAATCCCACATACAGTAAAAGCTCGTTAATTTGACACCCATTAATTCGGATAATTCGGACGGCTCTATTGGCCCTGGCCAAAGTGCATGTTAATTTATGGGACCAAACCTTTCTTATTTCGTCGGAATTCGCCCCGCCGCGGTGGTCTAGTGGGTAAGGTACTCGGCTGCTGACCCGCAGGTCGCGGGTTCAAATCCCGGCTGCGGCGGCTGCATTTCCGATGGAGGCGGAAATGTTGTAGGCCCGTGTGCTCAGATTTGGGTGCACGTCAAAGAACCCCAGGTGGTCAAAATTTCCGGAGCCCTTCACTACGGCGTCTTTCATAATCATATGGTGGTTTTGGGACGTTAAACCCCACATATCAATCAATCAATCGTCGGAATTCAGCTCCGCACCGCTTAATTCGGACAAATGCTGACGGCTGCTGCTACACAAAAGTGTGATAAAGCAGCGCTAGCACCACTGGAGGGAAACTGAAACCTGAGTAGCATCGCCATCATCATCAACTAGTGGGGGCGATCGTAGCGTCACCGAACGTCGGCGTCTTCTTTCTTCTCCACTCGGCGCCTCCGACGCCATTTTCCCTTGTGTTATCGTGTCGGAACCATCTCTTCTTGCGGAGTTCTCTTTTTCTTCCATTGTGACCGTATTTGCATGCCACCACCATCGTGTGCTACAGTGATGGTATCGCCGAAAAAGCGGCAGAACTACGACGCGAAGAACTTGGCGACTAAAGTAGAAATTTTGGAAGCACTGAACAACGGCGAATCACGACAGCAGGTTATGACCAAGTACAACGTGAAGCGGAGCACGTTGAGAACGTACGTGAAAAATGAACAAAAGATTCGACAAGCCTTCGAAAGCGAGAAGTTTCATGCCTCTAGAAAGCAGTTGCGAACCGCAGCTCATCCCCAGCTCGAAGAAGCTTTGCTCCGGTGGATTACTGACTGTCGCAACGCGCATCTGCCTTTGAGCGGACCTCTCATCATGGCGCAAGGTGAGAAGTACGCTGCAATGATGAACATTGAATCGTTCAAAGCGTCAGAAGGGTGGTTTGCGAGGTTTCGAGAGAGACACGAACTTGTCTTCAGGAGTGTGTGCGGCGAAAAGGCCAGTGTTGACGAAAGCGTGCCCACCGAGTGGAGAAATGTGAAGCTGCTGGAGCACATCGCCGCATATGAACCATGTGGTGTGTTCAATGCAGATGAAACTGCTCTATTTTTCAGAGCTCTGCCCGACAAGACGGTGATTTTCAAAGGGGACGCGTGCATTGGTGGCAAGAAGTGCAAGCAAAGGATAACTGTGCTTCTTGCCGCCAATATGACTGGCACGGAGCGCTTGCCACTACTTGTCGTCGGGAAGGCGCTTAAGCCACGTTGTTTTAAGAACGTCAAAAGCCTTCCTGTCGAGTACACAGCGAACAGGAAGGCATGGATGACATCGGACATTTTTCGCGGCTGGCTGCAGCAGTTTGACCGGCACTTCACGTCGAAGGACTGCAAGATAATTATGGTTGTTGACAACTGCAGTGCCCATAACTGTACAGTCGAACTGAAGAGCATCAAAGTAGTTTTTTTGCCACCCAACACTACGTCTGCTCTTCAGCCGATGGACCAGGGTATCATTCACTACGTGGAGTCGAAGTGCCTCAAGCACCTGCTAGAGCGAATGATGCTATGCTCAGTAGCTGGAAAGTTGTATCAAGTGGACTTACTCGGCGCAGTGCACATCATCGCCCACGTGTGGAAAAACACTCCGCCGCAAATCATCGCCAACTGTTTTCGGCACAGCGGTTTTCTGAGGCCCGAGCATGCAGCAGTAGCTGACGATGGCATCGAGGAGGTGTCAGCCGAGTCTACCGACGATGACTGCCCGACTTTCAATGCTGTCCTTCCCACAGATGTGACCTTTCAGGGCTACATCGCAATTGATCATGGTGTCGCCACGAGGGGTCTCCTGACCGATCAAGAGATTATTAATGATGTCACGGGCGCCCATGAAGACCACGATTCCGACGAAGAATCATGCGAGGAGATACAGCCGCGACCTCATCGCACCTCACGAGAAGTCTCGGAGGCGCTGTTAATATTAGAGAACGCTTGCCTGAACACTCCCGACAGCTTGCGTGCTGTTGGCCATTTGGAATAGTTGAGAAAAATTGTGATGTCAGCCGGAATCTGCGCGAAAATGCAGATGACAATTACAAAATACTTCAACAAACAAAGGTATGCTTCTGCAGCTTGATTTTAAATGTTGTTTTCTCTGTTCATTCGTTAATTCGTCATTCGCTTAATTCGGACAGTTTTTCCGGTCCCATGAAGTCCGAATTAACGAGCTTTTACTGTATCAATCAATCAAACCATCAGAGCCTGTGAATGATAGATGTTTTTTAAAAGCGCCCCAAAATTTCGCTGTATTGGTGGAGAGAAGTGAAGGTAGATATGAAATAAAGAAGACTGCCTTTGCTTCTTTTAACACTATGCGATATGCATGCAGGGCAATCAATAAAGTTCAGTTGTACACAATCTGCACATCTCATCTCTGCAGCCTGGAATTTGGCATAGATGACGGGAACATCTAAGCGAACGTACTCAGGGAATTTTATTGTGATTCATCCACGTCAAAAGATGGCCAGAGGCCTTTAGCCGACCGTGCTATTCTTCCAGTGCACCATATTTACTTGCATAATAGGCACTTCTTCTTCCTAGAAAATCGAGCACCAAGTTCAGGGTGCACCTATTATGTTGGGTAAAATTTCTGAAAATTTTATTTCATACTATACAGCATAGACCAATAGTACCGTAAGTGGCCGCAGTTGTGAATATCTGCACTACAGCTGAAACAACCTTTTTCAGAGGCTACACTAGCGGGAAACGTCTTGAGTGCGCAGTCTCGTGTTTCTGAGAATTGAGGGATGCGATGCGGTGGGCTTGCAAGCATTCAAATTTCCAAAGATTAACATGAGAGACCCACGTTGCCCAAAAAATAAACGTGGAAAAAAGAACTACGTAAAGAAAGTCACATCGTGGAAATTCACTGATTACGTTTCAGGCCACCTAGATGATGCACATTATTATGACTGAAGTATTGTGCGCTGAACGGTAGCAATTGTTCATTTCACGGGCTTGCCCCCCATATCCAAAGACATGGCAATTTAATCGTGTACCACCATCCCAGTGCTGCAAGCGCCACCCATACCCCCTTTTCTTCAAGTAGAGCCACTGCAAAAAATTGTACATTTTGTTGGAGT